TGAGAGAGAGCACAGGCAGGTGAAGCTGCAGGCAGAGGGAGAACCAGGCTCCCGGCTGAGCAAGGAACCCAATGTGGGACTTGATTCCAGGACGCTGGGATCATGACCTGAGCCAAAGGCAGCCGCTTAACTGACTGAGCCACCCAGGTGTCCCGGGAAAATGAACTTTTTGACCACAGGGTCTTACCAGGAAATGTGGTGAGCCCAGCTAATTTTTTAAACTTAAAAAATTTTATTTATTTATTTATTCTTGAGAGAGAGAGAGAGAGAGGGAGATTGTGCACGATCGCTTGAGAGAGCGATTGTGGGGAGGGACAGAGGGAAAGGGAGAGAGAGAATCTTAAGCAGGTTCCATGCCCAGCATGGAGCCCAATGCAGGGCTCGATCTCACAACCATGAGATCATAACCTGAGCCCAGATCAAGAGTTGGACGCTTAACTGATTGAGCTACCCAGGTGCCCCAAGTATTCTAGAAATTCTTATAAATGGAATCATACAACATGTACTCTCTTTTGTGTATAGCTTCTTTTGCTTAGCATTATGCTCATGACATTTATCCATGTTGGTGTATGTATCAAGAGTTTGTTTCTTCATACTTCTTTTTTTAAAAAAAGAGTTTATTATTTGAGAGAGAAAGAGGAAGAGAGAGAGAGCGGGGGGAGGAACAGAGGGAGAGGGACAAGCAGAATCTGTGCTGAGCGCAGAGCCCAATGTGGGGTCAATCCCATGGTCCTGATGCTATTATAAATAAAGCTGCTATGAACATTCTTATACAATCTTTTTGTTGCTATGTATTTTTAGTTCTCTTGTCTAAATACTTAGGAGTGAAACTTCTAAATAAAGAATAGGTTTATGTTTGAAATTGCCTAGCCTTTTTCCAAAGTGTTCCATTTTTAATTCCCACCAACAATGTCTGAGAGTTCTGTTTGTTTCACATCCTTTTCAATATTAGGTGATGCCAGTTTAAACATTTTTTAGCCATTGTAGGGTGTTAGTGGTATTTCATGGTGATTTAAATTTGCATTTTCTTGGTGAGTAATGATGTTGAATACTTTTTCATGTGCATATTGGCCTTTCGTATATCTTTCTTTCTGAATGATCTATGTCAAAGATTTTGCCTATTTATTAACTTTAGGAAACTTTATATATTTTGAATATAAATCCTTTGTCAGATATGTTTTATGAATATATTCTTCCATTGTGTGGCTTGCCTATGACTTTCTTAATGATATTTTTTGATGAACAGAAGTTTTATATTTTGATGAAGTCTAATTTATCACTTGCTTTCTTTTCTGATTACTGCTTTCTGTGTCATGTCTAAGAAAATTTGCCTGCTCCTGTGTCTCCTATTTTTTTCTAGAAGTTTTATAGTTTTAGATTTTACATTTAGGTCTGTCGTGGATTAATTTTTCTGTATGGTATGAGGTAGGGGTTGAGGTTCATTTTCTTTATATGGAGAATCACCTGTTTAAGCACTATTTATTGAAGGGATTTCCTTTTCCTAATGGATTGCTCTGGTACCTTTGACTCACATATACCTGTGAGTTATTTATGGGTTTGCTATTTAGTTCCATTGATTTATATGTCTATCCACATATATCCATATATGTCTATATGTCAGCATCACACTGTCTTAATACTGAAGTTTTTTTTTAAAGACTTTATTTATTTGAGAGAGAGAATGCGTGAGAGAGAACAGGAGTGAAGGGCAGAGGGAGAGGAAGAAGCAGACTCCTCCCTGAACGGGAGCCCTATGTAGCGCTGGATCCCAGGACTCCAGGATCATGACCTGAGCCAAAGGCAGACGCTTAACTGACTGAGCCACCCAGGTGCCCCAATACTGAAGTTTTATAGTAGGTATTGAAGTCAGGTAGTATAAGTCCTCTAGCTTGTTTGCTTTTCCAGGATTGTTTGGTTCTTTCTAGGTCCTTTGCATTTCCATATACATTTATGAAACTGCTTGTCAATTTCTAAAAACAACAACAACAAAAGATACCCTTCCATAAATTGATTGAACTAATTTGGGGAGAATTGGCATCTTAACAATATTGAGTCTTCTTCTTTTTTTTTTTTTTTAAAGATTTTATTTATTTATTTGAGAGAGAGAGAATGAGAGATAGAAAGCACGAGAGGGAAGAGGGTCAGAGGGAGAAGCAGACTCCCTGCTGAGCAGGGAGCCCGATGCGGGACTCGATCCCAGGACTCCAGGATCATGACCTGAGCCGAAGGCAGTCGCTCAACCGAGCCACCCAGGCGCCCACAATATTGAGTCTTCTAATCCACAAACATGATATATCTCTCCGTTTATTTAGGTTTTCTTTAATTTTTCTAGGTTTTGTAGCTTTTAGTGTACAGGTTTTTCACATACTTTGTTAAACTTATACTTAAGTATTTGATGTTTTTTGATGCTATTGAAAATTATTTTAAATCTCATTTTCTAATTATTTCTACATCATGCATGGAATTGATCAGCCATTCTGAATAACTATGGGATTCATATTATGGGCTGTTATAGGGTCCCATGGCTAAGTCCCAGTTTCAGGAAGGTGGTCTGGAGATTGGATACTCTTTAGTAATTAAGGTATTCTTTTTCTTTTTTTTTTTCTTTTTTCTTTTTTCTTTTTTTTTTAAAAGATTTAAATTTTTTTTTAAAGATTTAAAGATTTTATTTATTTAATTGACAGAGAAAGAGAGAGACAGAGAGAGAGGGAACACAAGCAGGGGGAGTGGGAGAAGGAGAAGCAGGCTTCCCGCCAAGCAGGGAGCCCGATGCGGGGCTCGATCCCAGGACCCTGGGATCATGACCTGAGCCGAAGGCAGTTGCTTAACCAACTGAGCCACCCAGGTGCCCCTCTTTTTCTTTTTTTTAAAGATTTTATTTATTTATTTATTTGAGAGAGAGAGAAAGCAGGAGCAGGGAGAGGGGCAGAGGGACAAGCAGACTCCCTGCTGAGTCCAGAGTCCAAGGCGGGGCCCCAACCCAGGACCCCACTTGAGCCAAAGTCAGCCACTTAACCAATTGAGCCACCCAGGTGCCCCCATCAAGGTATTCTTTTATGGGATTGCATGAAATTGGGTCATCAGAATGGTGCTGACATGCTGGTTTTGGATGAAGTAAATTTTTCATACAGATAGGTGCCCTATACAAAAAGTTTTTTCTTTTTTCTTTTTCCTTTTTTAAAAAGATTTTATTTATTTATTTGTCAGAGAGAGAGAGAGAAAGAGAGAGAGAGAGCATGAGCACAAGCAGGGAGAGTGGCAGGCAGAGTGAGAAGCAGGCTCGTCACCAAGCAAGGAGCCCAATGTGGGACTCAATCCCAGGACCCTGGGATCATGACCTGAGCTGAAGGCAGATGCTTAACTGATTGAGCCACCCAGGCATCTCCAAAATCTTTTTCTATACCCTGAATTCCCTAGGGGCAGCCCTGACTAGGATTGTGGTTGTCCTTAAAGGAGGAGACAAACAGCATGTCAGAGGAGTTCTCTTCTCTCCTATGTGGTATCATTCATTCTGGCAAGAACCACTACTCTCTATCTTTCTGAGACCTGAGACAAGGGTAGTTACTACCTTTTGTTTCCACGACTATTTTCAGTGAAGCCTCTGAAATGGATCATCATAGTAAAATAATTTATCCCAATGTTACACTGTATCCTTAGTAAAAAATTTATCCCTTATTTCTATTTAAGTACACATGATTGTATGGCCAATATACATTTCAAGGAAGCTGATTCCTTACCCCTGCAGCCTGCTGTCTATTGCACAAGAACTCATTATATATCTAAAGTGTGGTTGAGCCCAGTTGAGCTTTATTCTGACTGCATCACATTGAACTTCGGAGACATTTTAAGTCTGTGAAGTTGAGATGGGAACCATTATGAAAAGCTAATGTGAATGTTCTGTTTACTCATGGCTTTTATATAATTTATTCATGCTCTTTTAGGCTAGCAAAATAATTCCCATGTTATTTTAGTATTTCTAATTAACCAAAGTGAACATCACTGATGAGTGACAGGGCTTCTCAAGTGAAGGATGCCGTTATGCTGAAATCAGCACCACTCTGGCAGCAAAGGAAAGACTCTAAGCCTGTTTTTGTACACTGATGAGTAACTTTCTAGATTCTTATCTGCTCTTAGATTTTGTTCCTGGGAGGAAAAAGATACTGATTTTTTTTTCTAATATGTCTTCAACCTATATTTTAAAATGTTTACTCTAAAAAAAATGTTTACTCTCATAATAACTTGTGGCCTAAAAGGCAACTGCATTCGGTATAACTGTAAAGTAATTAGCTGGCTAGATATTTTCCATAAGGAATCCTGATGTCTTCATGGACAGGACTCTACTCACAATATGGGTAATATGTTGAAAGGGCATCTGCATGGGCATCAATGGGAGAGATATGGTTTGAACTTAAGAAAGGTAACTAATTAATAATTTAGTTATAAGTAGATATGGGAAGCTGAATAACATGGCTTAGGGGCCCCCAAAAGATACATCCTCTAATGTGTAAATCATAGAGTGTAACATCAGCCAAAACAAAGGTATGAACTTACTCAATTCATTGATTCTAGATGTACTTTTTATTCCAAAAGTTTTTGATATATTCTTTGATGAATATATTACTGTCTATTTCTCCCTCTTCAGATCTTTCACTTTAGACCAAGAAGAATAAGCTTCCTGTAAATACATGATTGTTCCTAGAAAGTTCCCATGATTTGTATGACTCAATTATGTTTCCAATGCTACTTTACTCATAGCACTATTTCTCCATTTCTCTTTGGACCTAAAGCACCTGTTATCATGAATAATGACTGCCAGTGAATTTTAATAGTTGTTATTTATTTTAAAAAATAGTTGTTTGTTCTTTAAACCCTCTCCTCAACATTTTAGCTTAGTCCACCATCAGTGTTCTTTCTAAATGGGGTAACCTATGAGGTTCCTTCTTCTCAAATAAACTCCATGTCCCCTTATATTTTCAGCATTTAAAAGTCATATTGAGACTCGGGGGCCATTTTGTGAAGAGACGAAGACTGAACGGTGTGGCTGCGTTGTCGACCTCGAGCAGCAGTTGGCTTCTCCACGTAGAACTCGGGAGTAGGAGATTCAGAATCGAATCTCTTCTCCCTTCCCCCTCCTGTGAGATTTTTTTGATCTTCAGCTACATTTTTCGGCCTTGTGAGGAACCTTATCATCAAAGAAAATGGCCAGCAATGTTACCAACAAGACAGATCCTCGCTCCATGAACTCCCGTGTATTCACTGGGAATCTCAATACTCTTGTGGTGAAGAAATCTGATGTGGAGGCAATCTTCTCAAAATACGGCAAAATTGTTGGTTGCTCTGTCCATAAGGGCTTTGCCTTCGTTCAGTATGTTAATGAGAGAAATGCCCGGGCTGCTGTGGCAGGAGAGGATGGCAGAATGATTGCTGGCCAGGTTTTAGATATTAATCTGGCCGCAGAGCCAAAAGTGAACCGAGGAAAAGCAGGTGTGAAACGATCTGCAGCGGAGATGTACGGGTCAGTACCAGAACACCCTTCTCCGTCCCCTCTACTCAGCTCCTCTTTTGACTTGGACTATGACTTTCAACGAGATTATTATGACAGGATGTATAGTTACCCAGCACGTGTTCCTCCTCCTCCTCCTATTGCTCGGGCTGTAGTTCCTTCAAAACGCCAGCGTGTATCAGGAAACACCTCACGAAGGGGCAAAAGTGGCTTCAATTCTAAGAGTGGACAGCGAGGATCTTCTTCCAAGTCTGGAAAGTTGAAAGGTGATGACCTTCAGACCATTAAGAAGGAGTTGACCCAGATAAAACAAAAAGTGGATTCTCTACTGGAAAGCCTGGAAAAAATTGAGAAAGAACAGAGCAAACAAGGAGAGATGAAGAATGATAAGTCAGAAGAGGAGCAGAGCAGCAGCTCCCTGAAGAAAGATGAGACTAATGTGAAGATGGAGTCTGAGGGGGGTGCAGATGACTCTGCTGAGGAGGGGGACCTACTGGATGATGATGATAATGAAGATCGGGGGGATGACCAGCTGGAGTTGATCAAGGATGATGAAAAAGAGGCTGAGGAAGGAGAGGATGACAGAGACAGCGCCAATGGCGAGGATGACTCTTAAGCACATAGTGGGGTTTAGAAATGTTGTCCCATTATTTCTTTACCTAGGCGCTTGTCTAAGATCAAAATTTTCACCAGATCCTCTCCCCTAGTATCTTCAGCACATGCTCACTGTTCTCCCCATCCTTGTCCTTCCCATGTTACATTAATTCATATTGCCCTGCGCCTAGTCCCATTTTCACTTCCTTTGACGCTCCTAGTAGTTATGTTAAGTCTTACCCTGTAATTTTTGCTTTTAATTTTGATACCTCTTTATGACTTAACAATAAAAAGGATGTGTGGTTTTTAAAAAAAAAAATAAATAAATAAAAGTCATATTGACTTGGGAAAGTAGCACCTGACACTCATGGAGATAACTGGCAAGAGTGGGTAGCATGTGTTAGTGACAGCGAGAGACTGCTTTGTGCTGCTGCCTGGTTTAGGTGGTAGTAACCCAGAAAGAAGGAGTAGAGGGGAGAACTTCCTGAGCAGTGGTAAACCTCTTATCATCCCCTTCTTCCTCTAATAGAGGGATGGGCAAAACCTACGGCAATATAATTCTTTTTTTAAATTTAAAATTAATTTTTATTTTTTAAAAGATTTTATTTATTTATTTGATAGAGTGAGAGAGAGAGAGAGAGAGCATGAGCAGGGGGCGGGGCAGAGGCAGAGGGAGAAGCAGACTCCCTACTGAGCAGGCAGCCCAATGCAGGGCTCGATCCCAAGACCGCGGGATCATGACCTGAGCTGAAGGCAGCTACTTAACCAAGTGAGCCACCCAGGCACCCTAAAATTTCTTTTTTTAAAGCCACATTATTGAGTTCAAAAAGTGACTGACATACAAAAAGCTGTACATATTTAGTGTATACAACTTGATGAGTTTGGAGATAAGTATACATCCATGAAACCATCACCACAATTTATGCCATAAACATATCCATCATCTCCAAAAGGCAGGACTCTGAGGAAACTAGCCCTGTTTTGCTTGAAAACCTGGCAATAACCCAACTGAGGATAGATGGCTTGTAAGGGGGTGTGCATCCTCTCTAAGAAACACCACAATCATACTTGGTTGCCACTAGAACCATAAGTAGGTTCAAATCTCAGTCTACTCTAGAGAGTCTGATATATAATATGGCCCAGAAAGGAGTAGCTAGTACATTAAATGAATTATCACAAGGTTTAGCTAATATATAGTGCTAGCAGAAACCTGGAAACATGTGTAGGAGTAGATTCTAAGGGTATCAGATCAAAGAAGGCAAAGCATAACTAGATCAGGAAGAATTCATTGATATGGGGCTGCTTACTAATACATAAATTAATGTATTAATTTATGCAAATGGAGGTGGCTCTAACAGCTTAATGGGCTGGTTGACTAAAATTTTGGCTCACTGGTAGCCTGTTGAATGAGGATAAGATACCAGAGCTTCGCTGGCCTGGAGTAAAGAAGGGTATCCAAAGATTTAAGGGGACAGGAAGGTTAGAGTGGATTTATCTTATACAAATGGCATGCTTACCCTCCAACTATAACTCCTGGGGAGGCCTGGATGGCACTCCTGCCACTAAGACATTGAAAAATACATTAGTGAGAAGAGAAATACTAAACATTGAGAAATACATTAGAGAGGTTTGTGGTTGCTCTCCTTTGTGGGAAAGGTATGACCATGCAAGATGCTGCCATTGTGATGAACTCCCTGATTTCACTAGAAATGGTAGAATTCCAAGTAGCAGAGGTCAAGTGGCAGCCCTTAACCATAAAAGACAAGATGGGCATGTTTACTCTAAAGGGCAGGAGGGATTTTATTAGTAATAAGAATGCTTTGGCCCATAGGGACCTTTGGTTGTGACTAATTGATCATGATATCCCTTGGAGTAAAATAGATGAACAGGCTGGTCTTTGTTGCGTGGCCAAAAATCTGACTTGAGTTACCACAATGGAGAGTCATGGCCTCTTGCCCAGTTTCCAAACTTAAGCCAGTTCACAAATGTAGAATCCTTTGATTGAGTGGGAGGCTTCCTTCCCATGAGGAATGATCTTGCAGCATTGCTGCATGAATACATCATAAATCTTCCTCCAGGCCTTCTCCAAAGGGACATTCACCCATTTGCTAGAGTGGCTATGCACTGGGAAAAAAAAGGAATGTCTAGATCTTTCAGGTATTAATGTTAATCACAGGGGATCCAAAATGACACTGTGGCTCACAGTGGGGGCTATGATTAGAAGGTGATAGATGGGAGTCTTAGCATGAGGTAAGGTGGGATCAGTTGGTCCACAGACATATCCTATGGTTATTTCCCCAGTTCCGGAACATATAAGTGGAATGAGAGCCATTGTGGTAGAAAGGCTAACCCTCTCTATCAAAATAGCAAATCAGAAGCAATACTGAATCCCTGCAGGAATTGCAGATACTAGTACCACCATCAAAGACTTGACACATGCTGGGATGCTGATACCTATCACATCTGCATTTAACGTACCAGTTTGGCCTCTGCAGAAGTTGGATGAATCTTAAAGAAAGACTAAATTATCAAGTTAGGAGATGACACCATGGAAGGATAGGATTTGTCTTACGGTATGCAGTATATCTTTGAATCAGAGACTTTTATATGGTGCTGTCTCCTCCATATCTGGAATCTAGAAATCAAGGGGAGGAAGTGGGGATGGCTCCTCTCACGATTAATATTTAGTAACCAACTCAGGAATTTTGCTTCCTCTTTCAGCTACTTTGAGTTTTGCTGGTTTGGAGATCTTTGCTTCTAATAGGGAATACATACAATAATAGTTCCATTGAATTAGAGGATGAAACTCCATTTGGCTATTTGGGTTTTTTATGACACTAAACCAGCAGGGAGATAAAAGAATTACTCTACTGGATGATTATTCCCTGATTACCATGGGTAAATCAAGTTGTTGCTACACAGAGAAAAAGAGTGATTCTGGAAACAGAGGATCCCCTGGGGCTACTTTTAATACTCCCACACACAAAGTAAAGGTTATGGAAAACTATAACAATCAAACAAAGGCAGGATATTGGAGGGCCCTTCCAAAATGAAGGCTCAGATCACCCTGATGTATAAAAGACCAGAATGGTTACTGTGGTTAGTGGAAGAAGGAAGTCACAGACACTAACTATGGCCTCAGAACCAATTGCCAAAATGAGGACTGTAGTAGCTTTGTCTATTTTCTCTTCACTGATTATGTGTAGTATATTTATTTGTATATTTAACTATTTTATTCTTTCCTTTTTCTCTTTATTATTTTCTATACAAATTGTTGTTGGCTAACTTGTTAGGTGGAAACACTTATTTTATTGTTTTATGGAAGTTGGAATATATGAAGGGTGCATATGGAAATTAAAGGGATGAACTGGGCAGTTATTAATTTATTGTTTCTTAGATCCAAATGTACTCTTCTTTGTCCCATTTTTTAAAAAGATTTTATTTATTTATTTGACAGAGAGAGAGAGACAGTGAGAGAGGGAACACAAGCAGGGGGAGTGGGAGAGGGAGAAGCAGGCTTCCTGCTGAGCAGAGAGCCTGATGGAGGGCTCAATCCCAAGACCCCGGGATCATGACCCGAGCCAAAGGCAGATGCTTAACGACTGAGTCACCCAGGCGCCCCAGTTCTTTGTCCCATTTTTGATAATGGACCCTGTAAACTTTGTCAGTTAGCTTGATATTAGCCTTTGTCAATAGAGAGTTCTGGAGGGACACTGCAATCCATAGGAGAAAGATACTTCATTTCCTGGTTCCAGTGAGCTGTTTTTTGACAACATGAAGGAAGCCTAGCAGTGCTCACCTAGCAATCCTCATGTACTAGCTGTGACCTGCATCCCTCAGCATATTTCTCGTCCACCCAGCAGGCTGAACTCTGATTGATACAAAGGGAGTTAAATTCTTATGCCCTAATTATCAGCTTGACATGAATTCCTCAGTCTTAGTCCTTCAATGTAAGTTTTTATTTATTTTTATTTTTATTTTATTTTTTAAAAGATTTCATTTATTTATTTGACAGAGAGAGACATAGCGAGAGAGGGAACACAAGCAGAGGGAGTGGGAGAGGGAGAAGCAGACTCCCCGTTGAGCAGGGAGCCCGAGGTGGGACTTGATCCTAGGACCCTGGGATCATGACCCGAGCCAAAGGCAGACACTTAACGACTGAGCCACCCAGGCGCCCCAAGTTTTTTTTAATGTAAGATTTTAACTTGCTTATTCCTATCATCATAACTGATGTTTGATTCTATTTTTGATAGCTTGTTTTATGTATTTGGCTCTTATGCTTCCTTGACGTTTCCTTTATTTACTTTCTTGTCCTTTTATTAAACTTAACTTCCAATTAAAAATGGATAATTGGGGGCAGAGACAATGTACTTGTGTTGTTTTTTATTCAGAGTTTAATTCTTTGCCCTTAATCTAGCAAGAACTCTGGACTAACACTGCATAGGTTCCAAATAATATCTCTGCTATTTAGCAACCACATTAGTTTATTACTTTCTGAATCTACTTTCCTTACCTGTAAAATATATATAAAGAATTTAGCTTAGTGTCTGATGCATAGTAAGTGCTCAATTTATGTTATTAATATTTTTCTCCATATTTCCTATCTCCAGCCTTTTATTTGCCATGGACTTTTGAGGAAATTGAAAAATATTTCCAGTGAAATTTTGTGGTTTGCTTCAAGTCCAGAAATCTGAGAAAGAACCTGAACTTGGCTCATGTTTGAATTCTGGCATATACATATTTGTTTGCAGGACAGGATTTGAGGGAGAGTTCATAGCACATCTGCGAGAAAAACACCATGAATGAAGAAGTCTGGTGCAGGGGACTAGACTACATGACAAATCCTAGAGAATGCTGGCTGTAGAAGTTGCAGGTGTGGGGAAACTGTGCTGACCATAATTTAATCTAGTCCTCTCCAACCCCTTCTGGGTGTTCTAGAAGGAAGAGAGCTGGATGGAAGAAAATCTTGAGTAGTAGGGGCCCATCAGCTCTGCTGAGCTGCTGGTTCTAGGAAGCAGAATGTGCTCTCCTGTTGAATAGGCAAGGGGAGGAATATTAGAGGTTGGAATAAGGCAGTGTTGTCTGGGTAGTTTGGAGTCCAGCAGACTGAAGGAAGGCAGCTACCATGGAGACAACAGACCATGGACAGCAGACTACTACTTACAGAGTAGAAGAATATATGTTTATGTTCTTTTTTTTTTTAGAAGATTTTATTTATTTGAGACAGAGAGAATGAGAGAGAGAGAGCACAAGAGGGGGGAGGGTTAGATGGAGTAGCAGACTCCCTGCCGAGCAGGGAGCCTGATATGGGACTTGA